CCCTACTTATAGAGTATTTTTTTCTCTTTCTAATGGCATAAAAAACTTATTAACGCAAAAAATGGAGTTAGCAGGTTTTCACGTTTCACTGACGATATGTATAGTAGTTTTAATAGTAACTAATTCAGACTATCCGCCACGTATCGTATCATACACGTAACGTTTTCGTTCAGTTTACTTGTAAACAATATTTTGTCGGACGCCGATAGATGTAGATTGTATGGATTGTCCCTATCTTCGATATCAGTCGTATCAAAATTTATGACACGAATGGTTGTCGTCTCGGCGTACTCAGTGATGAAGTGTTCTGGTGTTTTCCCATTTTCTTCACAGAATCTGCATTCGCCGTTATTTCTTAGCTTCAATCTACTGAAGTATTCACCGAGGAGATAGTGTGCTGCTAAAAACCCTGTGACAATCCGAATATTGTTCTTACTTAAATCAAGGAAAATATTTTACTTTTCTCGGCAGTAAGTCCTGAGAAATTTCTTCCAGTGTCTTACACCGTTAGAGGATGCCCATTCTAGGTTACGGATGGAGTCTTCCAGGTTCTTGAGTTACGCGTTGTTAAGTTGTGGTTCAGTTAGTAGACTATTCGCTTCTTTTCTAGCTAGATAGATTGCTTATTCATTACCTTCTTGGAGGGTTAGCACTGCTGGCACCCAGGTAAGAGGGCTTTATTTTCTTTGCCTAATTTGTTTAGTTCTCTACGCATTCTTTGGCCTACTTCGAATTGAAGGGTACTGAATTGATCGCTCTTAAGGCTGCTTGGCTATCGGATAAGACGGATATTTCTTGTGTCCAATAGTTCCTATCTAAGATAAGTTGTACTCATCTTTCAATAGCGTAGATTCCTGCCTGACAGGTAGGTGCCCATTTGTTGGAGTATATTTAGTTTTCGGCGCAAATAATCCTATCCCTGTTCCAACTTTAGTTTTGGAACCGTCAGTTATGGTATGGTCTTTTAGTATATGGAACATATTCACATAATAGACACCCTGAACAAATGCATTTTCCAGTTTATCTTGCATGAGCGGAAATTAGTTGGAAATTATATGTAATTTCCAATTCATGAGTTATATTTAATATAAAAATTTTCTATTATTTACCTACTCATAAATTACATAGCTCTATTTCCACTTGAAAGGTTGTGTTCATAAACCATAAATTTATACCTTCATTTCCTAATTATTTTATCAACTAATGAACGGGAATAACAGTTGCACTATGTCAGCATCCACAAAAAAGGAACTCGATAGTATTTTTCATCATCTTTAGGTCATAATTAATAATTTACTACATAAGATGTCACCAAAAAAGTTTACTCATCCCTGTCTAAGTGCTTTCATGTTTGCCTGCCCTCGTATCAACATTAACGACTAGGTGTTTCTCTCGATCTTATCTTTGTGTGTCTCGTGTCACGCTTATTATCCTAATAGCATGTCATTAGTTTTCATTGAACGTTATTAACATATTTAGAATATGAAAACGTGTAAAAATTGTCACTCACGAATTGTTTATACGGATGAGTCATTAAGACGTTTTTTCTCTCTAGGAAACTGCCCGCGCGAGTCTAATTATTATTATTATACTAATGTTGGACAAATTAGATCTTTTATTAGAAAATTAGTGTAACAGATTCTATATAACTATACAGAATAACAGATAAAATTACAGAACTATTTAAAGCATTACTTAAAGTATACAAAGAAAGATTATAGACAGGAGATGGGTTGAGAGAAGAATATCAATCAATTTCCGCATATAAGAACAGTACCATAAATTTATAGAGAAGAGAGAAGAGAGAAGAGAGAAGAGAGAAGAGAGAAGAGAGAAGAGAGAAGAGAGAAGAGAGAAGAGAGAAGAGAGAAGAGAAGAGAGAAGAGAGAAGAGAGAAGAATCAAAGAGAGAAGAGAGAAGAGAGAAGAGAGAAGAGAGAAGAGAGAAGAGAGAAGAGAGAAGAGAGAAGAGAGAAGAGAGAAGAGAGAAGAGAGAAGAGAGAAGAGAGAAGAGAGAAGAGAGAAGAGAGAAGAGAAGAGAAGAGAAGAGAAGAGAAGAGAAGAGAAGAGAAGAGAAGAGAAGAGAAGAGAAGAGAAGAGAAGAGAAGAGAAGAGATAACTATAAGTTAGAATATCTAAAAAATGTAGTAAAGTGTTCTCTTTCAATTGATACATTGTTTTCCAACAATTACCGAGTGTCTATTGTATTTAAATATATAATTATAAGTGGTCAATACAATGATATTGTGGGTAATTTCACACAATACAAATCCTAGACAGCCTCCTATAAACAAACTGTTTAAACGATAAAATCGACAAATTTTCGAGTACCGCGTGTCAGTACATATTATGCTATTTACGCGGCTAATACAAGTAACACACGCCTTTATCAATCCTTATCTGTTTACCTTACTTTATTATGAGTAATCATAAATGATACGTCACGTTTTCTACATGTAAACATCTTCATAAAACCATTTTAACTGTGTATACCGAATACCTTTCATAGACATAGGTACTTGAGCCTTTAGAGTATTTGGATAGAAAAATAATATCTTCTGAGGCATTCGGTGTTTTAGCATATTTTAATTACTATAAATAATTAATACAATGTTACCTTGCTTTTCAGTTTTATCTCACTGTTGATTTGCACTGCACGCCACTGACTGACAGATAAATAATAATCATGTATAGACGGGGGGCTTAAAATATAAGTACTACTATAGAAAAAATTATCATTTTAACTTTTATATTTTTATTCAGAAGAATTATTTTAACAATTATTAGAAAATTGACTAATCATTAATCTAACAACGTCAAGAGTGTTTAATTTTTGATACAAATCTTAATTTTCATTATAGTAGTATTTTTTCTACTTCGTTAAAACTGAGCACGTGTTTACTAACAATATTTGACCTCAATTCTAGCTTCCAAACATATTACAAATATCCAGCATCATAGCCTGCCTACCTTACCAATGACACGTAGACGTAAATTTACCTGAACAATAAAAAGCATTCAATACTAAGAATATTTATGAGAATGTTGAAAGTTTATGATCAGTAATGTGGTGTTTATTGTAAAGATAAATAACAATTTTTTCTTGTATTATATTATTATAATAGAAAATGTAATTTATTGACGTGACATTTTGTCATTTCGTCACAAACACTCAAGGTGTAATTCATAGAAAACTTCCGAAGATTTTTGGAAAAAACCAAATACTCGCGATTTCATTTTTATTATTTTATGACTATTTGAATAGATATATCAAAATAACTTTCACATTCTCATTACTAATGTTTTGTGTTAAGATAGATATGCGAAAATGTCAAAAGTTGACATATGATATGTCATTCTATTCAGTGTTACATTTTCTATCGAATAAAGCTTTGAATAACAAGACTAAGGAAGGAGCATATCAAAAATCTTAGGTCCACCGCGAGAGGCCTCAAATATGGCCGACTTAAATTCCGGTTTATCAGTGCCGTTCTAATTTTATTTAAAAAATGTAAAACTATGATGTAGGGTAGACGTGGGGTAGACTCAATAATTTTTATTTTATTATACGTTGTGAATAAATGTTGGTAGTTATTAAAATTGTTATAAAAATATAAAATTCTAATAAAGATAGATAAGTTATAATAATTATTTATAACCATAAACATCCGATACGCTACTGAAGCAGGTAAGTCAAATTGACGTATCTAAATTCTTTGACATCTAATCTTTGACAAGTAGTAAATAAAAGCAAAAATGCAAGAAAAAATATATAATTAGTTAATTTAAGTGAATTTCATAAATGATCGGTTTACTACACGTATGTGTATTATACCTATAGTCACTTATTAGCGAAAAGTTGTTCCATTATTTCACTCGATTTTTGCCGAGATCTACCGCACGCTACAAAACCAACTATTTTAGAGTCTTTTTCGATAAATCGCGATAGTGTCACTGTTAATTTAAGTTCTGCCACAATTTCCATCTAGATTTAATACCTTTATACAACTATCAGTAGTAGAATAAATAATAAATAACACAAAATAAGCTCCGTAAAGACTGACAAATCCATAAAATTTCAAATCAAATTCAAGTGTGTCAAATGAATCGTCAAACAGAACTGTCAAGGATCCCCATCCTAGAGTGCTTTTTCCGCCCACCATGCATGAATACATGGATAGCATTATTCTCCTTCCTTAGTCTTCTTATTGAAAGGAATAAAGTAAAAAAATACCGAGAGTGCAATTTAAAAATTAAAAGTTGTAGTCATTTTCGGTAAAACAGGAAGTGACCAAAAAAATTGAATATGTCAATCAATCCTAATTAAAAACACTTTTTAGATTCATTCACTAGTAAATTACAAAAGTATACCATTAATATTGCAAATTACAATTTATCCTCTCATAGTATATGCCTATTTAATTTTTTGATTGTGTAATGAACACTTTGTTTACTCACTTGTCTCGGTGAACTACTTGAATCCATTTTTGCTTTCGATCAAATCGGCGTGAGAAACTGTAAAGCTGTAAAATGTTGTTTCAGGAGAGTTGAATATCCGGGAAAGTAGAGTTATTGAATGTTATTCCACGTACAAAAAACGTACTATATTTTACAACCATTTATATCTTTACCATTCAAGTTGTACAAATTCGAGAATTATATTTTTAGAACAAAAATAAAACCTAAATAATAGTTTATAAAAATAATAATAAAACGCAATTATTCATTAAAGAAATCAAAACATATCTGGTAATTCAACAATTTTGAAACTTAAAAAAATCACATAAGCATTTGACCATCTATCAAATTATACTACCAAGCAATAATTCTTTTAAGAAATGTTATCGTTATTAGTATTTTAGTGGCAAAAATCAAGTGACTACAAATGATCATTTTTAGTAACAGCGAAATATGCGGGTTAGATTAATCAAGTAAATTCCTAAAATAATGGAGACCCTTTCAGAGATGAGCTTACGAATCGTAATATGTCTCTGTACTTACACTTACCACGTGCTTTCTACATATTTGCATCACAGTCTTCCACGTGACCTCGTAAAGAAGCTTCGTTTGCGTGATGAACGTCTTCTCCTTGCAAGAAACCAAACTTGCCATGCAGTGATAAGCTTCCTCTTCTGAAACAAAGAAAAAGAAACTTTATAACAGCTGAACAGAACGAACATATATTATTTAAATATTATGTTATATTCCTAGATCAAGATTTTTAAAGTTTTATCCCCACGTATAGCACTATTATAGTATACCGGGTGCGTCTCAAAAGTGACTCACCCCTATAACTTTTTTATTTTTTTCAGATAAAACAATGAGATTTGGTATGCTAGTATAAGACATAAATTAAGATTTAGTGAAATATTCAATTGTTTTCGGTCACTTCCTGTTTCACCGCAAATGACTAAAACTTTTGGATTTTAAATGGCACCCTCGGTATTTTTTTACTTTATTCGATTGAAAATGACACTCTGAATGAATCGAATGACATATCATATGTCAACTTTTGACATATTTGCTCAAAAACAAATTGTATTTTAAATCTCAATCTAGAGTGCCATGGCTGTGTTGAACAAAAACACTAATTTTCAATCAAGGAGCCTTGGAAAAATGGATTTGATAGTCTATTGTTTTTAGCGTCTTGTCCTGGCAGGTTAAAAGATGCCCAATTCTTATTTTTTAATTATATCTCAGTTTTTTCAAATGGAATGAGGGTGGCTCATTAGTATATTAGGAAAAAGCAATTTTTTAGGAATAATTTGATACCACACACTCGGTATTTCGAGTCAAATTGTCGTTATGAACCGCATGTTATAATTTCAAATAAACCATATGCGAAAATGTCAAAAGTTGACATATGATATGTCATTCTATTCAGAGTGTCATTTTCTATCAAATAAAATAAAAAATGCCGAGGATGCCAGTTAAAAATCAAAAGTTGTAGTCGTTTCCGGTGAAAACGGAAGTACCCGAAAACAATTGAATTTGTCAATCAATCCTAATTTATGTCGTATACTAACATACCAAATCTCGTTATTTTATCTGAAAAAATAAAAATGTTATAGGGGTGAGCCACTTTTGAGACGCACCCGGTATACTATCCCGGTCACTGTATCTTAAAGGTGCGTATTCATTATCCGAACGAACGAACGAACGAACGAATGAAAGTGCGGTATGTTTAGACGGGGACCGAACGCATGCGGCCGTTCGTTCGTTCGTTCGCTCGACCATCCGTTTCGAGTCGGTACATCAAAGGCGTTCGCCAACAAATGCCTCCGGTCTTCTCGTGCGGTCCTATCGTGCGGTCCCCGTCCATACCACTAGCGAACATTCGTTCGTTCGTGCGGATAATGAATACGCACCTTAATACATGCGATAGAGATACATATACATATACGACCAGTTGACAGACAGAGAGACAAAATAAAAGCATACAGTATTGCCGGTTCGTACGTGAAATAATTATACTTAAATAACCATAGAAATAAATATTCATTGGTTTGTTTCAATTAGTTGCTCAGATTAGTTCAGAGATAGTGCTAGTAAACGTATTTTAAGGTGTGAAGCTTCTTACACGCTAAAGAACCAATAAAATTTGGACTAAATTCAAACAGCTGTCAATTTTGACTTTGGTTACTAAATTATGCTACTAAACTAACAACTGTGATTGTTTGTCTTAATAGCTTCGCCAACGACACAACGTAGTTCAACGTAGAGACCGAGACTTAATAATAATCAATTACAGCTGTAGTAAAATGAGTATATAACTAATTGTGAAAATTAAACATCCAACTAGATGCAACATTTTTCGTAAACGCTGAATTGGGCGGGTTAAAATGTTGATGCAAAATCCGGCAATGCCGCATAGAAGAAATATATCAACCCAACTGCCTCTCCATCACTGTCTTATACGTTAAAATCCAGACGCTTCTACTATGACGAAATCTGTATAAATACCCCTAATATAAGTACAGACAAGTAGCCTCACTATCTACTGTCTACAGTAAATCACCCTGTATATCAGAATCAGAAAACGAAATATAAATCAAAAAAGAATATAAATAACAATATATCTTTCTCCCAAGAACGTAGACAAGAAACGAAAAAGACTGAATTTAAATCAGTATTTCAGAGTTATAAGTCTGTTGTTTGTATTAAGTTAGAAAGTTTTTCTTGCCGTGGAAAAAGCTAAACTGAAAATTCTTGCCGGTCGTTGACATTTTATGACAATATCGATAATATCATAAAATTTACATTTCAAATTATGCAAGCAAAAGCGTACTGGATGGATATAGTAAGTTTTATGTGAAAATTTAGGAAGCACTTCTTCACAAACATAATTGTGATAGGTTACTCAGAAGATGATTTTTTAGGTAAATTGATAATAAAACTTAAAAAAAGTAATAAGAATTTTTTTATGTAGCTTTAAACTTCAAACCAGTATTTTTAAATAAAAAGATATATTTTTTTAAATTGATATGATTTATGATATACTATACACTACCCAGTAAATGCAAAAGCATATTATTGAATGAATATTGAAAGTTGTTTTAAAAAAAAATAAGATTATCTCTTTAAAATGATTTTAAATTACATCTTGGAAAGTAAAGTTGTCCATCTTGACATTATTGGGTACAAGAATAGTTGTTCCATTATATGTAAATTTTTACAATTATTAATTTTACATTACACGTATTGTTACCAGAGATTTATTTAACGAAAAACATATCAAAGTATTTCGATTAATATAAAGTACACGTATAAAATAATCACATATAAGCCGCAAAAAATAATGTATTAATTACATATTTTATTATGATATAAAAATATTTCATTTCTTGAATGATATTTGTTCAAAATTAATTTACTGAATTATATATAGTTCGCCATAATGATCCAGATATGAACGCCATATACAGGGTCCGGCAATAGTGCGTCGGGCATCTGTAGCTCCTAGAATAAAAAACTTGGGAATTTTGATTAAGTGCAAACCTAAAGTATGTACTAGGATCTATTTCAGGAAAATATTTTAACTTCTATAGGGTGGCTCAAAAAAGTGTGAGTGGATCGGGATGATTTTTTTTAAATGGAACACCCTGAGGATTATTGCATTTTTTGCTTCCTTTCAGATCACTTTACATAATCCTAAGACATGAGTAAATATATTTTGATAATTTCAGAGATATTAATAAATAAAGAAAAATTATATATTTTTAAGTCTTTCTTAAAAAAATTATTAATAATACAACAACTGTCCTGAAATCAAAACTATATTAGATATTTACTTTAAATAGTCTGTACTTACTTTGCCATAAATATGGAAATCGTAAATCATACAGGATGTTCAAAATTCTACGCCAAACTTTCTAAAATATAAAATTATTTTTCTTCGTTTTTTTTTAATGGAACACCCTGTATATTATTTATTCAATAGATGGAGAATTAACAAATGAACATTTTTTATATTTAGAGTATTTCAAAAATTTTAACGGTTTCGCAGATATTCCCGGTTTTATATTTCATATGGCATTTTGTACAGTAAATTTTATCAAAGCCAGCCAATGATTTTTCTCTCGTATTTTACCATTGAAAGCGCCATATGAAATAATACTGCGTGTATCCGCAAAACTATTAAAAATTTTGAAATACTTTAAATACAAAAAAATGTTATTTTTTTAATTCCCAATCTAATAAAAGAATAATATACAGGGTGTTCCATTAAAAAAAACGAAGAAAAATTATTTTATATTTTAGAAAGTTTGGCGTAGAATATTGAACATCCTGTATGATTTACGATTATCATATTTTATAGCAAAGTAAGAACAGACCATCAAAAGTAAATACCTAATATAGTTCTGATTTCAGAACAGTTCTTGTATTTTTAATAATTTTTTTAAGAAGGGCTGAAAAATATATATTTTTGATTTATTTTTTAATATCTCTGGAACTATCCAAATAGATTTACTCATATCTTAGGATCATGTAAAGTGATCCGAAAGGAAGGCAAAAATGCAATAATATACGGGGTGTTCCATTTAAAAAAAATCATCCAGATCCACTCACACTTTTTTGAGCCACCCTATAGAAGTCAAAATATTTTCCGGAAATACGTCCTGGTACATACTTTAGGTTTGCACTTAAACAAAATTCTAAAGTTTTTTTATTCTAGAAGCTACAGATGCCCGACGCACTATTGCCGGACCCTGTATAGGGTGTTTCACGTTCGACACACACCATTGGGACTTATCTTGTTTTGGTTCCGGACCTGGATTTCTTATTTCCTTTTTCAGAAGCTTATGACCTCCCAACTCGGGAGGTCATAAGCCTAATGCTGGTAGTGGAATTTGAAACACCCTGTAGATATTATTTCCAACTAATTTTTGTATTGGTAAGTTGGCAAAATAGGCCTACAAACAACAATTTTGAACTACCATGGTAATGATGTGGTATGTTACTACCGAAAAATACTATTTACATTTTAACAATGGACATTGACATAAACAAACCATATATTTACTAAAACGACAAATGCTGAGAAAATTTGCTTCTTGGAAATCTTTGACTTATAAACATCCAGCTAAATTTTTGTTGACTAATTTGAATTACTAAAACACTTGGCTCAATTTGTATCTATTTATAGTATTATCTACAAACTCTACAAATGTAATAATTGTAATTCAATTAAATACTAAGAAAAGTAATTCAAGAGAATGAACTACATATTTTTCTACGAAATTCTCAGACAGCAATTGAATTTTTGGGATATCAATAATTAAACGTGGATAGAATTATGAACACTCCAAATTAACAATAAAACGTAAGTAGTATTAATAGATTAAAAAAAAATTGTGTGTGTACTATGTGCACATATTTGAAGTGAAACTTCTTACTTCCGTCTGTGTATCTGAGGACTCCATTCGGGTACCTCCATTCACGTGTCGAGTTTGGTTTCAATTTTCAATTGACCCATGATTAGGAAAAATCTGGATGATTTCATCCATTTAGAGGCATCGCACAGTGCTTCGTCCCATGGACAAAAATCGAAAAAAAGTTAAAATTTACTAATATCTGAATATATAATTTTATACTTATAGCAATGTTCAACCATCCTGTATATTATTTTTCA